TGTCATATATCCAACTGTAGGCTTAGTTCATGATGTTCTTCAACTCCTTTCGTCAGATTATTTTTAAGATGTATTTTATAAATAAATATTTTAGGCCTCAGATCTCAACACTCACTTTCAAATGGAGGCTTTGTTTGGATTCTGTCATTGATTTAAGATCAAACACTTGTAAACTCTTATTTAAATACATGTAGAGTTTTCTAAATTAATGTTTGATTTATAAAAAGCTCTTTCATTCCCTTTTATTTAGAATTAATGTAATGTGAATTTGTAAAATAATGTACTACTTTTTAAAGTCAAAACGACTTTCTAATTACTTTCATAGAGTTGATTTCTAACATACAGTGAATACTTCTTGTTAGCTAAAATTAAGTTTAAAAATCAGTAACAAGTCTACAGAGTAGTAGAAGATTTTCATTTATAAAAATATCCTCAATAAATGTTCTTAGACTTGTGTAGTTTCTCTGCCTAGGGAAGGCTGGGTGGAAGCAGTGAGGGTATTATAGAGGGCATATTTCCAGGGACAGCAACAAGAGATTAGCAAATCTCGGCATTTTTCCTAGAATTCATCCTGAGCAGGTTACAGAAAAAATAAATGTAGTCTATACTCAGACTGTTTTAATAGGGCACGGTGTGATCAGTGAGGCTAAGAGGTGAGTTGGATACTCTTTATTGACTAGCCCTTTGGTGACAATATCATGTTAGGAAATTAGGGAAATCTTGGAAGTCTCCAGGTGTGGCAACTAACCTGGGGCCTTGAAAACACTATAGAAAATGCCACATGGGCCTGGAACATTTCTGTTGCAGTCACCTTTTTAAACCTAATTCAGTATTGCATGTAGTGTTGGCAAAGATGAGTGACAAGGAGGTAAAATTTAATACCTCCATGATTTCCTGCATGATTACTATTATATACTTTGAGCCACCCCAAATAAGCAGAGCCCCTATGTAAGACTGGTCATCTTGCTGAGCAGACAAAGGACTTAAACATAGTCCTTTAGACCTAAGTTCCCCTTCATAGATATTCTGAAGCTTTCAAGAGTGATAGGAAGTAGATGATCAGGAAATATTTCTCAACTGAATAAAAATGTTAATGAGTGGGAAAAAGGAGTATGGAGATGTTGGACCAAACTCTAGTTTTTAATTTAAAATGATCTACTTTTAAATCTTAGGATTTCTCCTGGGTTTAGTTAGAGGGTAGGGTAATGGTGTGCTTATAAATGTTTTAACAAATGGATGGTAAACCCAGTGACAATGGTCAGCTCAGTCATTTGGGCTGAATTCGTAGATCTGAGCTACCATAGCATGTATGACATATTCAGAATATGATTTCAAGTATGTAACATCAATAAATAAAATTGCATCAAAGTTTTTATAAGAATTTTTCAAAAGCTTAGAAAAGACTCTGATAGTTACCTAAAGTAGAGTAAAAATACCTCCTTAGGTAGAGGAAGAATTGCTGTGTTTAGGGTAATAACACTGCATAGTGATACATAAAAAGAGAAGGCAACAAAATTTCATAGGAGGTAAGCCAAGTAACTGAGAATTTCTTATTTTCTGTTAATGGCAGTCTGCACAGCAAGGAAAGCCAACTAATTATATAGGGACCCGATAACTAAATCTACTATATGCTACCACAGTTTTTGGTTAAGGAAAATATGCTGTGTCAGTGTACATCCAGTGTCTGACTAGAATAGCAATGGTCAAAAATGAAAAGGATATGTGATAATTAGGCAATCCTAAAGTTGGTAGTTGTTGACATTGGCATTATTTAACTTACCAAAGACTTTTTAGTGTTTTTTTTTTCCCCTAGAGAGGGTTGAAGGATTAATTATACAATTAAGATGCAATTTCAAAAAAAAATTACATATATTACCTGAAATATCCAGCTAGTCATAAAAATTTCCAGATTCACCTTTTGGAGTTGATCTGGAAAAATTCCAGATATGTGTATTCTGTCAGAGGTTAGAGATTTATCTTCTTAGAATATATCATGTGATAAAGAAACTTTCATTGGTAGTATGGCAATTTCTCTTGGAGGCTTTATGCCTTTTCTGGATTAATGCTTTCAATAAATAGAAGGAAATGATCTTAGATCTTTGTCTTTTGGGGTTTAAATGAAGATCATCTATACATTGTAAAAGAAAGATGTCATGATGAAATTTTATACTCTTTAGGTCTTGATTGAGAGAAGTAGAGGGGGCTTCTATAAATAACTGACATATAATAGACCTGGAATATTGTTGATTTTTCTATGACAGGGCCAACAAATAGTGACTGTTTAAATCTAGAGGAACAGTAAAAGGACATAGCGCAAGTATACAGCAGTAAAGTAGATGGATTTAGATAGTACTCAGAACAAACTGATACTTGATTTTGAAACCACTGTAAAATAGTGAATCGCAGTTTTGTTTTCAATACTCAAATCTTGCACAAACATGTATCTAAGCATACGAGAATTTTTTTTTTAATGAGCAACACACTTGTGTTACAAAGGCTAGTAGCAGTAATAAAAAGATAACTTTTTGCTAAACGTTCCACAGTAGATCCAGACCACCTTTTGTTTTAACTTTCAAAGGACATTGGGCAAGACTGAGTAGACAATTAGATAAATCATTTATTACTTAGATGGGATCAGCACCTAATAATTTCAAGATATCAGTATATTCCTTGGTTTATAAGGTACCAGGAGCCTCAAGTAGTACTTCAAGTTGTGATTGGGTTAAGTATCCAGGAATGAAAAAATAAACATCCTCTTGAACTATTAGTGTATGATGCATGTGTCACAAACAAGAGATTTCAGATATTTCAGGAAACCGTCCATCTAGAAGGCACTGGATTTGAAAGTTACCATAAAGGAATCTCTCAATAATAAACTTGTTTGGATGTTATCACAAAGGAAGAATGAATGTTGACTCATGGGAAGGCTGAGAGTTATTGTCACACGCTGAGTGATGAGGACAGTCTAGGAGTATTTGAAAATGTTAACACTCCAGTAGTCTGAAGATTCATAAGATAAGAAAGTCACAAAAATAGTGATAGAACAGAATAGTACTCACGCTATTTAGAAAGTTTTGCTTCTGCCTCTGTATTATTAGAGATGGTTCTTTTTGATGGTTTAACAGAGTCATTGGAAATTGTGTGCTACAGCCTCCCTTGGAGTCCCTTACATAACATTTAAAAACTTTCATTTAGTTCTTTTCTCTTTTTTTTTTTTTTTTTTTTTTTGGAGACAGAGTTTCGCTCTTGTTACCCAGGCTGGAGTGCAATGGCGCGATCTCAGCTCACCGCAACCTCCGCCTCCTGGGTTCAGGCAATTCTCCTGCCTCGGCCTCCTGAGTAGCTGGGATTACAGGCACGTGCCACCATGCCCAGCTAATTTTTTGTATTTTTAGTAGAGACGGGGTTTCACCATGTTGACCAGGATGGTCTCGATCTCTTGACCTCGTGATCCACCCGAGTCGGCCTCCCAAAGTGCTGGGATTACAGGCTTGAGCCACCGCGCCCGGCTCTTTTCTCATTTTTATTAAGATGAAGCAATTAATGTTTCAGTTGCCTTTTTGCTTACAAACCCAGCAAAGGTCTTGTTGAATAGGGATTTTTACTGGTTCTTAAGGCTGTGGGAATTCTACATTCACCTGCTTTATTTTGCAATCTGTAAGGTTAGTTTGAGAGTTATTTTGTCATATCTAAATTATCTTCAGTACATTCAGCCAAAGGCTGAAGTTTGTATAATAGAGTGATCTGCCATCCAATTTTGTTTACATACCAAATCTACAATTTCTGGTTTTAGGCCATCTACAAAAATGTTGGAGAGGATAGTGGACATGTCAGCATTGGGGCCTAATGCTGAATATATTATCTAAAGGCACTGATTAGCCTATCTCTGAGTTCTAAGGTTTTACAATTTTGCTGTTTGCAAGAGTAAACCAATATGCAGTTTCAATTTGCTGGGCAAGACCTGAGGTATATTCTTTCAAATAGATTGTCCCAACTTATGTATCCTCACATATTCCATTTCATTAAGGTTTATTGCATTAATTTTTAAGTCCTTCTCAGAGTCCTGCAATTAGGCTTTTCCAAGCAAGTTTTGCATCTCCTGGCCCCACCAAAAATGCACTAATCGATATACCATCCATGTGAGAATATTTTATCATGCAATCATTCAGCTTCCATAACTCAAGGTTTAAGTGCTATTATTATTTTCTTTTTACATATGAGGAAATGAGACTTGGAAAAGTTATTTTAATTGCCCAAAGTCATAATTAGCAAGACATAAAACCAGATTTAAATCAATGGCTCCATGACCTCCAAATCTAAAAATTTAAGTATTTTGGACTTCTTCCATGAAGAGATATTGTCCCTTTGCAGGCTTGAACCATAAACCTCTATGTTAACAGTCCAATGTGTTTCTCAGGAATGCTATAAGAACCTCATGTCGATGCATTTATTTTATTATTTTTCTACCTTTGAGAACTGTCACCATATTCTTCAGATAGCTTATTGTCATTTTATACTACACTCTAGATATTGAATCCTTTCCAGATAGTAATGCTACACTCTAGTTGCTGGGTCATTTCCAGATGTGAGTGTTCCAGGTCTCATTTGCTCCTCCTTTAAACGAGACACCATCCAGTTGCCCCATAGGAATGGGTCAGTAACTGGCTATATCTAGCAGAAGAGTTCCACTGTGCCAGTTTCTGATTTTATTTTGGAAAATATTTTTATATTGTGTACCACTTACTTGTAACCCAAAATAGAATCAAAGGCATGAAATCTAAGGAATTTATGTGGCAAGTAGTCACTGTTAAATGAAGGCTTATTTCCACCATTCATTTTTTTTTCTGTGTCTATATAATACATAAAACTGAAAGATTTTTTTTTCTAACAAAAATGTTTCCTGTCAAATTCTTCCAGCACTATTTGGGAATGTCATTGAATAAACTAATAGTAGGCTTCCAAGCCAAGAGTAATTATGTTACATTGCTCTTTTTTGGCAGGGAGCTATTTTTTTCCTGTAAATGAGGCACTTTAATATAAGCACACTTTTGCACTGTAAAGTGGAAGAGGATTTGATATCGATGTCTTCCAGGTGAGATACAAAATTATATTTTCCCACTTCTAGATTAATGTAACAAAGTGATCAATCAATTAATTAATCAACTTGCTTTTTCTGATAATCACTGTAGCAGATAGCAATTAGAAATGGAAACATATGCCCTTAAAAGTTGAGGCTGTTTATGATGCCTTAGGGTTATGTCACATTTTATATTCAGAAACACTTTAAAAACATTCATATCAGTGTTTGCTTTAAGCCAAATTTTGAAGAGTTATTTCTTTGATTGCCATTTTTAGAGGAGCAAGCTGGCTTAGGAAGGTTAAATAACTTACTCAAATATGGTTAGCACTGGTGGCAAAAGTGGAGCTAGCAATCTAGTCTGTAGCCCATCTATTTTAGAATAGGTCACTGTAACAGATGTGCTATCTTAATTTCTCATTTTCTCCAGAACGGAAATTTGAAAGCATCTTGCAAGTTTATGCAAATGAGTTTATATATTGTGAGGGTCAAGAAAAATCCATTTTATAAACATATCATTTTTATTTATATATATGTATACATATACTCATATATGATAACTATGAGGAAAAGGCTAAGGGTTTTATATACTTATTTCAAATACATAAATCATTTAAACATAGAGTTTTGTAGGAAGTCCATAAATTATCTTCAGTAAATGAGATTAATTATGGATAAAATGTATTGATAATTTATAGGGTAGTAGGCAGTATGCCAAGAACTTAAATTATCTCATTTTAATCTCATTAAGCACCAGGAAACAAGTACTATTATTCTTATGGTAAAGTGAATAAACTGAGGAAGTATACAATTTTCTAAAGGCTACAGAGAACAAGAGCCAGGGCACCATAAAATGTCTACCTATTGCTGTAAAGACCATATAATTAAACCCTATATGACATTGCTTCCCACTGCAGTCTACTTCTTTAAGTAAGTAACAGTTTTTATTTACTTTAATTCCAATTTGTATCCCTTCTTTGCTTTATTTTTTTAGTTATGGCCATGTGTACTTGTGTCCCTTTTTATTAATTAACTAACATATAGTAGGCCGGGTGCAATGGTGCACACGTGTAGTCCCAGCTACATTTGAGGCTGAGGTGGGAGAATCACTTGAGCCCAGAAGTTGCAGTCCTGCCTGGGAAACATGGCAAGACCCTGTCTCTAAATAGTTAGATAGCAATATAGATAATAGACAGATAGATAGATAATAGATAGACATCATTTAGTGTCGTGATGACACTAAAGTGAACCATAGTTACTCTCTTCGTTGTAGAAGAATGTGTTCTCTAAATTCATGTATAAAAATAATTTTGATGCTTATATAGGCCTTTTCAGATGTGTAATATGGTGACTGATGTGATAATTGACAAAATATGGGCTAGGAAACTCCACAATCATGAGAGTATATATACCTTTACAACAGTGGAATAGATCCCCATATTTTCATTAATCAATGAACAAATATTTCAGGACACACTGGGTTCTATAAACTATGATATATGCTGATTATAAATTTGTTTTTACACAGAAGATGCACATATCTATACATATAATAGCATTGTGACAGATGTAGCATACAGAATATCTAAACTAAGGTCCAACTTAGATGAATGAATGCTTTGGCAGGCTAAAAATTTGGCACACCTTCCAAAGTGATTGTAAAATATTTACTCAGTATGTAACCTTCATCAAGACTGAGTGCTACACAGGGTTAGTTTGGAAAGGGCTGCTTACGGGAGCATTGTTTTGCAATGGTTGATCAATTCAGTTCACCCCAAAATCTGCATTTCCCAACAAAACAGGAAAATGTAGCTAATCAGACCATTCTTACAGGCCACTTTAATAACCTTTGCTACTTGTGCACCATGTCTGTAGCATCCTTTGCCCCCACACAAAGCAGCTTTTAAGAAGAATTCCTTCCACGTACATATAGTACTCTCCCTGAGAGGAGATTTCCTTCCAATTGACATGATTCCAGTTATGCACAATGTTCTTCTAGATTAACACTCTGGTCAGGAGTCTGTTTCATGTACTTAAATCTCCTTTGATAGGAGGGATTTCGAAGATGTTCCTAAGATAGGATGTGTATCTGTTAAGGTAACACTAGCTGCTATAATGACAACAGCAATTTATATAATGACTTTACACAATAAACATTTACCTTTGAACACATAAAGTATAATTGGTATTTTCTGACTAGTGAATCATACTCAAATGAAATCCAAGCTCCTTCTGTCTTATGGCCAGGCTATTTCCCAAAAGCTCAACTCCTCTGAATCCAGCCTATAGATAGGGAAAGAGGAGAGGGGAAGATACCCATTTATAATCACTTCACCTGAGAAGTGACATATCCATATATACATATATATATATTTAATTGTGTTTTAGGTTTTGGGGTACATGTGAAGAACAGAAGAACATGCAGGATTGTTGCATAGGTACATACGTGGCAATGTGGTTTGCTGCCTTCCCCCCATCACCTATATCTGGCATTTCTCGCCATATTATCCCTCCCCAACTCCCCACCCACTGCTGTCCCTCCCCTAGATCCTCCCCACAGACCTCAGTGTGTGATGCTCCCCCTGCCCCGTCCATGTGTTCTCATTGTTCAACACCTGCCTATGAGTGAGAACATGTGGGGTTTGATTTTCTGTTCTTGTGTCAGTTTGCTGAGAATGATGGTTTCCGGGTTCATCCATGTCCCTACAAAGGACACGAACTCATCATTTTTCATTGCTGCATAGTATTCCGTGGTGTGTAAGTACCACACTTTCCCTGTCCAGTCTATCATCAATGGGCATTTGGGTTGGTTCCAAGTCTTTGCTATTGTAAACAATGCCTCAATGAACATTCGCGTGCATGTGTCCTTATAATAGAACAATTTATAATCCTTTGGACATATACCCAGTAATGGGATTGCTGGGTCAAATGGAATTTCTATTTCTAGGTCCTTGAGGAGTTGCCGCACTGCCTTCCACAATGGTTGAACTAATTTACACTCCTACCAACAGTGTAAAAATGTTCCTATTTCTCCACATCCTCTCCAGCATCTGTTGTTGCCAGATTTTTTAATGATTGCCATTCTAACTGGCATGAGATGGTATCTCAATGTAGTTTTGATTTGCTTTTCTCTAATGACCAGTGATGATGAACATTTCTTCATATGTTTGTTGGCCTCATATATGTCTCCTTTTGTTGTAAAGTGTCTGTTCATATCCTTTGCCCACTTTTGAATGGGCTTGTTTGTTTTATTCTGGTAAATCTGTTTTAGTTCTTTTTAGATTCTGGATATTAGCCGTTTGTCAGATGGGTAGATTGCAAAATTTTTTCCCATTCTTTTGGTTGCCGGTTCACTCTAATGATTGTTTCTTTTGCTGTACAGAAGCTCTGGAGTTTAATTAGGTCCCATTTGTCTATTTTGGCTTTTGTTGCCAATGCTTTTGGTGTTTTAGTCATGAAGTCCTTGCCTATGCCTATGCCCTGAATGGTTTTTCCTAGATTTTCTTCTAGGATTTTTATGGCGTTAGTTCTTATGTTTAAATCTTTAATCCATCTGGAGTTAATTTTAGTGTAAGGTGTCAGGAATGGGTCCAGTTTCTGCTTTCTGCACATGGCTGGCCATTTTTCCCAACACCATTTATTAAACAGGGAATCCTTTCCCCATTGCTTGTTTTTGTGTGATTTATCAAAGATCAGATGGCTGTAGAAGTGTGGCATTGCCTCCGAGGCCTCTGTTCTGGTTCCTTTGGTCTATATCTCTGTTTTGGTACCAGTACCATGCTGTTTTGGTTACTGTAGCCTTGTAGTATAGTTTGATGTCAGGTAGTGTGATGCCTCCAGCTTTGTTTTTTGCTTAGAATTGACTTGGCTATGCGGGCTCGCTATTAACATGCTTACTTCTAACTCAAACCATCTATTAATTGATTAGAGATTATCCCCAACTCATAAAACTTCTAAAAATATGTAACTCCATGTAAGTTGAGCTACTGTGTATATGAAGAAACCAAGGTGCCTCACAGATGCAAATGGGCTAGGAAATATAGAAGCTGGATGAGCATATTCTTCCCTGCAAGTTTATACTTTCTAGCAAGTCTACACTGTGAATATAGAGAATAACATTTAAAAATGGTCTCTGCCAAAGGATGCAGTGTTAATGTAGCTTGATTAGGCATTAACCAAATGAAGAACAGTGGGGCAGGTATTTCAGGGAGAAAGGACAGCATGTTCAAAGATTGTGAAAGTGTAATTGTGGATGTTATTATAAAAGTGAGACCCCAGAAGAGGCGGTCACTAATGTCAAATGTGATTCAATCAAGAAATACTGAGCACTATGCTATGTACTCAGCACGTTGTGAAAAATATGGAGCTCTACAAAATGTTGCCTCTGCCAGGGAGGTGCTTTCAATTTTGTGGGAGAAAGACACACAGCCAATCAACTTTTTTTTAAAAGTTTTTTTCTACTTCTTAATTCTGATACATAATGATTTACTAGACTCAGTGTTAATTTTAAAATTTTGAATTCTGGGAACATTCTGAGCTAGATTTTCTGGGAGTGTTCTGGAAAAATACTGAGCAATTTAATTGATTCATTTATTCTATCATACAGAGTGCTTAAGTTACAATATTCTCTTATTGGAACAAGATATAAGGTGGTAAAAAAGACAGAAAATAGCTCAACTTTCATGAAACTTACATACTTGTAGAAGTTTCATGAGTTAGGGATAATTTCTAAATTGATTGATAGCTGGTTTGAGTTAGAAGTAAGCATATTGATAGCATAAACATAAATGGCATCTTATATAAGGCTCTTCACAGGAGGTTTTTTATTATTATTATTTTACAGGTTTCTAGAGGATTTTACAGTGTTATGAAAAATTACACATGAAATCAAGATTCATATATAAGGTTACTTTAAAAGACACATTATTTTTCTTCATATACTGAAATCTAAAATAAGTGTATAAAAATGAGATTAGAATGAATATTTTTAAGCACTTTATTCTTAGGAGTGTGTAAGACTGAATTAAATATCAACTAGAAATTTAATTGAGAGAATTAATATGATGTACTTGATTAGATCTGAATTTTCAGGTATGTATGGTTTAATATAACATTAAAGAGACTTTTCAGCCTACACCTGATTCCTTTTTTGTTGATTCCAGTAGCTGAAATCTGAATTAGACTTCTTCTTTCCATTTAAATGCAGATTCAGACTGTTCACCTGAGGGAGGGGGAAGTAATTTCTTTTGACTAAAATACTAATATATAGGGAAGTTTCATTTACATGAATATTCCTTCTCAGCACAGGAGGTCTTTTCTTGCAATATCCAGAATATTTATTGCAATAATTTTATAGCCTCTTTATATTTATGTCATTGTTGTAGGCTACAATTTTATGTGCTAAATAATGGGGTAAATACAAATCAAACTTTCACTGGGCAATGGAAAAGCAAGAGGGAATTTAAAAATGGAAGTGGTGAATTAAACAGCACTGAGTGACCAAATCAAAATTGAAATGGGGGATGCTGAAAAGCTAGGTGCATTAATATACTGACAGAGATACAATGTGTAGAGCCATTTTATGCCTTTTTCTTTAATCTTTTTTTTTATCCTTTAAAAATTGAATCCTGTGTTTCAAAATATAAAGCCTTGGGTTATATATGCCAACTCATCTAACACATATCTGAAATGCTGCTACACTTATCTCCAATGTAGAGATTTTTTGCACCAAGGAAATAAAAAAGTAGAGATAAATCATTGTGATAGTATTAGCATCTTATTAAATAATTTCTTGTTGTACTGAATAAAAGCTAAACAGTTCCATTTTACTGAGAACATATGACAATTTTAGCCAGTCCAAATGCTATTGGAATCTAACTCCAAATATGTATACTTAAAATAAAAAAAATTTCTTAGATAATACTTATGTGTGAACAAAATGTAAAGTGGAAAACATTTATCTCAGATATTTAATAGAAAGGTTTACATTATTTTTAAAATGTATCCTCTCCCTCAAAATAAATTCTAGTTGAAATAATATCATTTATGGCAAGTTAAACAGTTTGCCATTATCACAGTTTAAATATTTATATTTATTTATTAAACCAAAAATCGAGGAATATATCTTATGTGTTAGGCACTGGAGATATAGGGGTTAAGCCATCAGTCACTGAATTATGTAGTCTAGAACATCATACAGATACAAACATTTAGTACAGTTATTTTATGAGCTGTCATTTAAAATATGTAAATCTGAAACACTATAACCTTAGTTACCCTGATGCCGTCCTTATGTTTTGTGTGTGTGTGTGTGTGTGTGTGTGTGTGTGTGTGTGTGTGTGTGATTTTATAGGTAGCTGCTTCTAAGTTTCCCTAGGGACTCAATGTCTTTTGGTAGTACTCCACATCATCTGAACTATGTATGTTTGTCATGCTATACCATCCCCCAGTGATACTATCTAGGTATAGCCCTTCATCTATCATCTCTATCAGGAATAATTAAACTTCAGTGTGTGCAAGAACCATCTGGGTGTTTGTGATAAAGTTAGACTTGGTACTTTTAGTTGGGGTCCAGGAATTGTATCATGAACACTTGGTGATTTTGATGCATGTCTTCAGCAATAACAGTTTGAGAAACATCTATCTATGAACAAGCAATACTCCCAATCTATTGCTAAAGTCAAGATGTCTCTTCTGGGCATATAACAAACACCTTGCTAAAAATTTGCTCTTGGATGTTGCTTATGTTCCTCATACTCTCTAAGCCTCTCCCCATCACACTGCCACTGTCTCCAGCATGTATTTCATACTACAGTTGATCCTTAAACACCATGAATTTCAAATGTGCAGGTCCACTTACATGTGGCTTTTTTTCAATAAAAATTTTTACTAAGTATGTCTCCCTCTTCTGCCTCCTCTTCCATTTCCATCACTTCTTCTGCCTCTGCAACCCCTGAGACAGCAAGATCAGCACTTCCTCTTCTTTCTCTTCCTCAGTCTACTCAACATGAAGACAAGGATGAAGACCTTTCTGAAGATCCACATCCACTTAATGAAGAGTAGATATATTTTCTCGTTCTTATGATTTTCTTCACAACATTTTATTTTTCTTACTTTAAGAATACAGTATAATACACATATACACAAAATGTGTTCATTACTGTTCATTTTTACCATAAAGCTTTTGATCAACAATAGGTTATTCATGGTTAAGTTTTTAGGGGGTCAAAAGTCAAACATGAATTTTCAACTGTAGGAGGAGGTTTGCACCCCTAACCTTTGTGTTATTGAAGAATCAACTGCATATTGCCTGGCTAAGAGAATTTCAAACTTGCCTATTCTATATAAGAGGTTAGAAATTCAGGTGTTATATTTGACTCTTCCCTCTACTTCATTACTCCCATCTGATCAATTATAAAGTCCTATTGATACTAAACTTTAAATAGATCCTGAATTTGCACAATTCTGTCTTTTTTTGACTCTGCTGCCACTTCTCCTGTTTACACAATCACCATTTCTCAAGTATATTTTCCTTATTGACTCCAAAACTTTTTCTGACCCTCTCAAATTAAACCTATACTCCCAACTGTAACCCAAGTAATAATACTAGCAACAAATCAGAAAAAATATTATATGCAGAGAAATTAAAATGTCCTCACCACAGTTATGATTCCACATATGGCTGAGCCCCAGCATAACTCCAATATCCTGTTTTGTTCCTCTCCTTATACACATACTGCACATAGTGTAGTCCTCCAAATGCTGTCTACCCTTTTTTACCTCCTGGTCTGCCTTAGTTCATTTAGACTGCTTTAATAACATACTAAGAAGTTATAAATTGCCAAAATCTATTTCGCACAGTTCTGGAGGTTGTAAAGTTCAAGATCAAGGCACTGGCAGATATGTTTCTGATGAGGGCCCACTTTCTGTATCAGAAATTTCACTTTCTTTTTGTATGTTCACATGGTGGAAGTGATGAGGAATCTCTTTGGGGATTCCTTTATAAAGACACTAATCTCATTCACAAGGGTGGAGCCCTCATGACATAACCACTTCCTAAAGGCCCTACCTCATTGAGGTTAGGATTTCAATATATGAATTTGGAGTTTGAGGGGACAAACACAAAGATCATGACATGATGTTATATTTGCATGTACTGTTCCCTGTACCTACATTCCCCACTTATCACTTGGCTAACCTCCTCTTCAATTAGAACATTATGTCTTGGGCCGGGCGCGGTGCCTCAAGCCTGTAATCCCAGCACTTTGGGAGGCCGAGGCGGGTGGATCACAAGGTCAAGAGATCGAGACCATCCTGGTCAACATGGTGAAACCCCGTCTCTACTAAAACTACAAAAAATTAGCTGGGCATGGTGGCGCGTACCTGTAGTCCCAGCTACTCAGGAGGCTGAGGCAGGAGAATTGCCTGAACCCAGGAGGCGGAGGTTGCGGTGAGCCGGGATAGCGCCATTGCACTCCAGCCTGGGTAATAAGAGCGAAACTCCGTCTCAAAAAAAAAAAAAGAACATTATGTCTTTGGTGAAGGATCACTTATATAAGGAGTTTAGATTGGATCCCTTTCTTACATGTGCTAAGATTGCCTGATTTAGCATATTTATATATTTCCTACATAATATTTGAGACACACTTTCACTAAAAAACTGTTTGTTGTTTATCTGCAATTGAAATTTAGCTGAGCAACCTGTGTTGAGTCTACAAGCCAAACAAGCAGCATCCCTATGATTTATCACATCAAAATTGGATTTTCTTTCTTCCCTTCTCTGTTTTTCCTTCCTTCCTTCCTTTTTCTCTCTCTCTCTTTCCTTCTCTCTCTCTTTCTCTCCTTCATTCTTTATTCTTTTCTTTTCTTTCCGATTTGTTTGTACCCCTTAATAAACTGTAAATTCCTCAAAGACAGAAACTTAGTCTCCATTTTCCTACATTGTGTTACTATACTCTTTGGGTAGTGCCTGGCAATCGAAACCTATTTGAGAAAAAGAGTGGAATAATGTACTCAATATTAAAACCTCACCACTTCTGTTTGTTTCACTATATCTTATTGCTTTTAAATCATAGCAACAGAAAGTTTGCATATGGTAAGTGTGCATACTCCTTAAATATATTTTTTAAAGTTTGATTCTTAACAGAAACAAGGATTTCATATCACAGCAAAGCCTATAAGCAATTATACTTTGAATGTAATCTACCCTTCTACAACAAATGTAACTGAAAGAATCTGTGAACCCAAAACTCTACTAGGCTAGTTTTCTCATATACACAAGAAAGGTGTTTAATAATGTGGACTATCATTTTTAAAGCTTATTTTAATAATAAGGAAGACTTTTCATATCAGAGAAAGCATTAGAGAGAAGCTCAGTAGAATTTTTCCTATTTGTACTCAGAAAAATAAATAGTTCTCAATTTTCAAATTTTCAAAACCTTAAAAATAGTTCTTTTACAGAGAAATACTTAAACAATTTTCTGAAAATAGATACAGACTTTGCTATGTATTGTGATTGAAAACAATTAATTGAATATTCTGAGTAACTTTTAAAAGTAGAAAATAAAAATACCAATTACAGGTCCATTAAAACAAAGCTTTTCACAATTGTCTGTATTAGCAATTGCTCTTCAAATGTCACAAGATGCCATGGGCATCTAGAATTGATGATGGATAGCAATTTTAGTAAAATTAGGCACAGGTATCCAAAAGCAAAAACACATCTGTTATATAAAAAGGAGTTATTCGCCTCTGAAAATAGCTGAAAAATTATATTTTGATACTAGTTAGGGTGATTTCTGTCCCCACCAGTGGAATTAACAAGTAAAGGAATAAGTAATCAAGAAATAGACACTAGTAAGTCATATTTATTTATTGAACAAATGCTTATTGAGGCCTGACTTTGTACCTAACATTAATATTCTCTGTTGGGGGAAGCAGCAAAGGAGAAAGGACTTACAGACTGCCTACATAAATTGGTTATGAGTAACATATAAACTGGGAACAAAAAACCACAGCAAACTGCAGGAGGCCTCTGGGGAGGCAAACTTCTCCATGCCTCATGTTCCAGCACAGGGTGACCTAGCCTCTGGTACCATAAACATTGTGCTCAAGGACATAAAACCCCTTCATAGCACTAAGACATAACCTGACTTGTAGGCTCCTTGTAAGGTCCGCGTTCCGCCAGCTGCACATAGATTATAGGCTAAAGATAACCACATGTTCTTGTTTTGTGAAACTCCTAAACTGCCGCTGTTATCAATGTTTAGAATGACACACCAGTTCTGGCTCACCGATTCATCCTTCTCCTCACATCACCCTCTCCTCAACATCATTCCACCAATAAATAGTGTGAGAGATCAGAGCTCGGGCCTTCACTGCCTCCAGTAATAAGTGATGGCCCCCTGGTCCCACTGTCACTCTTAATCTGTCTTTTTCTCAATCCTTTGTTGCCACCAAACTCGGGGTACCCATGGGTGATGTGGGTCTGGTTCCCTACACTCTGTGTTGGGTGTGATATAGATAGATGGCAAACAAGAACAAAGTAAGTGACTTTTGACTCAGCAATGATAATTATTTACCTGTTGAAGACTTGTAATTCTAGATTTGAGGTCATTATGAATACTGACAGGAATTGAGTTCCTGTTTCATTTTCAATGCTTTCATCAGTAAATCAAATTAATTTACCTCCACCAAAGAATGTGTGGAGACAGTCCTCAAACCACAATTCTCATGGAACAATGTACCACAGCAACCTTACCTCCACAGCCTCTTCTTGAATATTCTCTTTGATGGGCTCCTTCTTGCCATTTCTACTGATGTCCTGTCTGTGGAGGTTTCTTTGTTTTGTTTTTGTTCTAATTTTCTAGCTTCTGTACATCAAGTCAAAGAGACAAGTAATTTGTCCTCCTTGGTCACAATTGCAACTTCTCAATTCTCTCCTCCTTTAGAATAAAATCAAATAAAGACAGAAAATTCTTATTTTTGTAAGCTCATGCCATTCAATTCAGTCACCCACTACGCCTTCCTCCTTGTTTTTGCATCCTGATCTCTTAGTTCTTCTTATTATTAACTGAAAAATTCAATGTATAAGTCATAGCTTTTGCATCATTACTCCTGACTTCATTTTCATGAGTTCGATATTCATGGAAGTGAAACATCTAACTTCCTTTACTCTTGGTTCCTTTACTTCTTTACCTCCAGTGAACATTCCTTTCACTTGTTTTTAGCCATTCACTTCCTATGATATAAGCTATAATCAGACCTGTCCTTACCAGAAACTTTGCCACTTCTGAATTTTCTGTTTCAAATATTTTCCTCTCCATCCATATTTTTCTGTTCTTTTAGTGCATATGCTTAATTACCTTTAAAAACAAAATGATATGATTATATTGACCTTACCTAGTCATAGCCATACTTGTCTTTCACTTTCTACTAACCCCTTCTGTCTTGAACTTCTATATCACAGTCATTATAATTAGTCCATCAAAACACCACGAACTTACTTGACTCCCTAACTCAGTCTCACTTACCAACCTTGAATAATCAATGCACCTGATCTACATCTTCTTGGAGAAAATCACATGATCACTTTAAGATGACTGTTATCTCTAAATTTAACAAAATTATTGAAAAATGAACTTCATTCTTTTATGTTTTATTAATTCATGCAACAGATGTGCATTGTTAATGTTCTATGTACAAGAGCTGTTCTAGGTGCTAGATTTATGACCGAAAAATCTAAAACAGACCTTGGTTTTATGGGGCTTATAATTTAAGGGGATTAAAGAGAAGGACACACAAAAGCTGAGTAAAGAAGTAAGCATTAGGAAAATATCAGATAGTTCTAAGTGCTATTTCTTGACTGAACAAATGTATATTGAGCACTACTGTCAGGCATATTAATAGAAAAATAGTAAAATAGACTAATGATATATAGGAAATCCTGAGAGGGGACTTTATAAACACCCTAGGATGCCTCACTCATGAGGAAACATTTTGCTGAGATCTAAATTGTGGAGGTTGGATAGAAAAGTATTTTATGAAATGATTAGTCTTCTAAAACCCCAAGTTGGCTAAAAACGTGTACTGTACATAGACAGAAAGAAAGTATGAAATAAAATGAGCACTGCTGAAGCTTTGTGGCCCGGAGAGAGGTTGATATAAGTTGAGACTGGAGAGGTAGGAAGGACCAGGCTATACTTTTTTCAACTGTGATACTTTTTCCCCTTTTGTAGGTAGCTATGAAGGCAGCAGTTATCCACCTCCCTTCCTCAAACACATAAGCTAATGTCTCCACTGTATATAATATTTAGAAAATACAAACCATCAAATACAAAATAGCTTTCTTAACTATCCACCTATAAGCTTACCATATTTTTCATCCCATTTTTTCATCCTCTCCTGGCTGTTGTATCCCATTCCTTCACCTGTAGTCTAGATCTGCCCCTCCCACACTTTCTTCAAAGAGGCTTCCATTCTACAATGATAATATCAGTATCTGATGTCGTTAATATCCTCATCTCCATTATATCATTTCAATTCATCATTAAAACACGGTAATAGCTCCCAAATTCGAAATAAAAATTACTTCTTTATCCCCTCTAAATCTCTCTACTTGAGCTGACACCTCACCGTACCATCTAATATGTTAATATTTGTCACAAAGTTATCAACAGGCTCCATGGTTCAGTATCAAAGGATTTTTGTCATCTCCATCTTAATCTCTCAGCAGCATTCTACAGAAGTGAACACTGTATAGCAAAATAACCAATAGAAAATTTCTCTTCTCCAATACTCTAAAATATACCGCTTCAATATCTCTGCGTCAATCTTCATAATAAACAAGAACTCTGTGAGCCTTGCTTTTGGTTGTTAATTCTCTGATTGGTCAAGTAAGGCCCCATGTTGAAAAGTACAAAATCCTAATCATGATACACAATGAATGTATATTTTGAAATATCACATTATATAATAAATGTGTATGTGAATATCTCTCTTCTAAGATGTATTAAGAATATATACATATATAAGTAAATCTTTTGTTATGCATAAGTGATAAATATTTATATGTGTGTTTTATTATGATCTTAACCTCTCAGTATTATATACAGAATGTTTCTTCCATAATTTTTATTCTTTTCATTTTTTTTTCCTTGAGAGACAGGTTCTTATTCTAACCCAGGCTGAAGTGAAATGGCATGATCATAGCTCACTGCAATTT